TGCTGCATACCTGTTCCGGCTCAGTAGCCGGGAAAGAACTAAAGCCTGAGACAGCCAGATGACAAACATTTTCAAAAAGAGGTCTGAATTGGCAGTCTTATTTTTTTAATCAAACCTCCCTGGATGACACGAGGAAGTAACATTTTATTACAATTACAATAAAAAGTTTTAAATAGTTTGGGATTAAGTTATAAAGGAGTAACATAAGGTGGACATGAAACAATCAATCACGGGAAGTAGAAACTCCTTGCAAGTTATTTGTTGTCTGTTAACTTCACTTTATAAAATAAAGCCCATTGCTAATAAATTGGGCATCTTCAAGATCTGTTGTGTGGTCAAGGGAAGAATGAGTTAGGAGTGTACATAAAACTACTGGGTCCTACCTAATGCTCTAAAAAAAAAAACACATTTCCCCCATCAAGTTTGGCCTCATCTGTTTCCCAACTGTCTCTCAATCAGGGGAATGTATTTAGGGGAGTGGTTTGGACAAACCAGGTTGCAATGTCATTATCGACAGATGCATTGTTACAATGTATCACAATTTATTTTTATTTTTTTTGTAAACTTATTGAAGTGTTACAAAATAACACTTGATTCAAGTCTATTCACTGCAGCACCTCAATGTAACATTGTGGTGTTAACAGGACACATTGGAAACAATTGTTTTTTATGTGCCCTTGCATTAAGCCTTTGTTGATTTTTGCAGATCAACACAGCTCAATAGAGGTAGTGTGAACAAGTCCTAAATACACTCTTTTGGCTCCAGGCATTTGGAACTGCTTAATACAGATGTGTCAAATGCAAATGAAACAGTGAGCCAAACTGAGTGCAATCATCTTCCATGGGCCATGTTATATCTGCCAAGGGCCACATGTAGTTAATTTCAGGAAAAATATATGTAATTAACATCATTAAATTAATTGCAATTTACAGCAGTTTATTCCAGAAAAATTGTCCTTAACCATTTCTTGAAGTATTCAGCTGCAAAATGATGTGTGCAAGTATAGCCTTTATCAACTAGATTACAGCTGGAGTCTCATTCATCTTAAATTCGTAACTCCATAAAACTGTCCCTTGAATGCTTCATACTCAGGTGAACAACTGTAAAATTCCTGCAGTATTTTCTTATAACATATATGCATGAAGTAGAATGATTTGCAGCCATTTACGCATATTCATTGTCCAGACACCCCTTTTACCTGCACAGAGATACTCATTGTGATTCTGATTCACCTCAATCATTGCTCATCCCAATCTTTCTCAAGCTGTTGTAGATTATAACATCTTTACAGTGTTATTCTTGCTCAATCCTGAAATAGTACATTCCACAAGGGCTTGTTAAATCGAGACCTGAATTCACAAAGCCCTAGTTAAATGTATTACAGCTTAACCCTATTTAGATACCATTGTCCTCAGTGAGCTTTAATGGTTTTAGTCAATCCTGGATCTGCTGTTACTTTCATGAATATACATTTACATTACAGATCAGTCCCTGTTATCCATTAATATGAATATATGTATGAGGTGTTTTATATAAATTGCTCTGTCTTCAATTAGTATAAAAGTGAATAGGTTAGAAAACCTGCCTATTTTAATTAGAGAAAGTCTATGTAGTTTCAAGATTAACAAATAAAAAAATACAAATAGTTTTAAACCATATGCAGCTTGCAAAAGAGATGATAATTAATAGCAGCACTGCCTAGTTTTAACTCTAACCAGCCTTCCAAAGAATGTAAGCATTCCTTTTAAAGTTAAAGTTCATTCCTTCCAGACTGCCATTTTTGTAAGTATAATATTCATTCTTTCTTATTGACAGGCTGTATTTTGTACACTAATTGCAGCTGCATCTTGAAGAATTGTGACCCCCACAATGCATTAGTACTTGTAAAAACTGAAAACATTCTAAAGCAGCCCCCCCGTCCAAAAGAGACAACTGAGCTGATTTACTAAGGGCCCTTTTATACTAGGCACCTTGGGACCGCACTGGCAGCCTTGCCCAGCACAGTCCCAACACATTTTCTGCCTTATTTTCAATTGGCACAATTTACACCACTGCACTAAAAAAAAAGTGCTGAATACATATCTGAAAAATCTGATAGTACAACTGTTGAGGCTGAACACAATGACAGGAACCAGCTTGACACCAATAAGTAGTATGCCTGTGATTAAAGGCCCTCTTGAAGGAGGTCAGGGAGAGCCTTAAAGTAGTATTAAACTCCCAAACTTTGTTTAAATAAAAAATCCCAATCCAAAAAAAATATATGTACATGGCTGTGCAAAGTATTTCTTGCCACGTTTCCCCACATGTTTCCATACAGCTGACTCCAACTCTCTCAGCGCCACTTGCCTGAACTCCCTGTCCCGTACAAGATTATAAGGGACAGCACAATCTCCAGCAGCTGTCCATCGACTAGCTTGAAAAATGGAGAAGGGAGAAAGAAGAATGGAGGAAACAGTGGAAGCGAGGGAAAGGGGAGTGACTGACCTTGCTTTGTTGTGCTAGCCATTCCCCTGTGCTGTGCTTTGCTGTGCCATAGGATCCTGCAAGGGAAATGAGCCACCCTAAAACAGCATATCATGGCCAGTGCTCAGGGGACCAGCTGATTCTGCAGGAAACTAACGTTTAAACATCAAGAAGCAAAATCCATTGTAAATTATGTAATCAGCATTTGAAATAGTTCAAAACCTTTTGACTTTGATATCACTTTAAACTGAGGAAGTTAATCTATGAATTAAGTTCTAAATGTAAATTGTATTTAGACTGGGTTTAAGAAATGTTAGTAGCTTGCATTTTGGCCATTTTGTTTTTTATTTGGACTTGCTACCTTTAATTTCCCTGTTCCTAAATAAAAGCTACAGTATTTCACTTTAGTTTTAAAATGAAAATCCTGGTAATTTCATTGCTCCCAGCACCCCATCCTCTGCTAAAGCCTAAGATTTGGCAAAAGGAAAATATATATCAATAAATAAAATGAAAACAATAATTCCATATGTCATAAAATGATACATCGACATAGATGATTACAGAATATTAACCTCTTTTAGAGAAATACTTCAGTATATTTGGAATGTTAAGATGCAACATCTTGTGCCCTCCAGCCTTATCAGGGATTACACGAAATATTTATTTTCCACTGAATAGCCGATTATACATTCTGAATGCGTTGATGTTCCATCCAACACAAACAAAGGCTAATTACAATTGATGGACTCTCTCCCACCACTTGTACACATAGATCATCTCAGCTAAATCTCTCAAGGTGCATTCAATGTTTTACACATGGCATAGAAAATGCAATGAAACCAAGTCAAGAAAATTGCAGTTGATTCAGTGAGAAACATTTAATATGACTGCATTCATTATAGACCCATTCTTTTTCTAAGAAAACAAACATTTTGTGTCACAAGTTTGATTGCAGCAAGTTGCTTATGCAAATTATATCTTACAAAGCAGCAAGAGTGATGGAGCTAGAGGTATGAATGAGGGAATAGAAATACAGTAAATGGAACAGGGAGTTTCTGTAGCTGAGTGCACCTTTTAAATAAAAAGCGATATTAACACGAAATAGACCAATTACATGTTGTATGTATATTTCAGATCTGTAAATCTGAAGAAATAAATATAAAAGTGAAATCTATATATCCATACGGAATGTTTATTTGGTAGCACATTTTAAATAAACATGCATAGTGGTGAACTACAGAGTAGGTGGGCAATTTGCTGATCCACATGCAAATGTGTATGGAAAACAATATACTAAGCAGGGCTCCATCACTTGTGTACAGCATTTCTTATAACACTGTAGAAATGACACATACCACATGCTGCAATCATAGACGTATGGTTTGCGTCATTATTATGGTCTTATATAGAATTAGGTGTACAGATAGTGAAACATTTCAGTAGTTTAGATGCACTAGTGGCATTTCCAGGTGTATTTTACTGAATTTAGGGGCAATTCCCTAAAAAAAGATTTATTTTATTTTTTGGTAAATAAAACAGGATTGAATTAATAAAAAGATATATATTATGTCTATTAGAGACTCCTGTAGTGAAATCCCTGCACCTGGAACAAGCATGCAGGACAGGAGATCACGCAAGGTAAGCAACTCAGTAGGTAATGAAGCAAGGATGAGGATGATACCCCTAGAGCTTGCACTATTAGAAAGAGCAATATAAGCTGCCATAATTCTGTACTGAAATACTTCACTTAATGTAAACTTGTGAGTTCAGCTATCCTTGTAAGGTGGCCATTGGTCCACAGAGCAAGTGCACTAAGGGAATAAAGTGGCTTCTATGGCTACTTTTAAGGCCTGTTCACATCTGTGCATTTAGTTTTGGTATTATTTCACATTTTTACAAACAGTAGATGCAAGGATAATCCAAAATGAACTAATGTCTAAATGGGTTGCTCAGATCACTGTGCTGCATTGCAGTGAGACTAGAAAAAAAGGTTCTTCACTAAGGTATTTTAAAAAGACTAACAGGCTCATGAGTTGGAAATAACCATGTCTATCATGGTTTTCAGCAAAAAATATTTGGCTTTATGACTGACTATATTTAAAAAGAAGAAGCCATTACAACCTATCCTTTGTTTCAACGTGTTAGACACATTTTATGGGATTTAATAAAAACTGGCAAATCTGACTAGGAGGATTTGAGTTTGCAAATATCAGAATTTAGTAATAACTGTGCTGACCTTTGCTGAATCCTGAATTAATGCAGCATATAAGGAGGTGTGTCCACTGACTAACCGACAGCTGAAGCTATTGTTAGTGACAAAAAGTGGTTAGTTGATATCACTATTACTTATCAAGACCTACTAACTGCAGCAAGAGAAAACAGTGTGGAAATCAAGCAAGTAATTTTTAATTGTTTTACTACAGATCAGTTGGACAGTTACTATGGATCATATGGACACTTCTGTAGCCTAAAAGTGATGCACACTCAACCTTCACCACAGCAGGTGGTAAATAAATGTAACAAATCACTACTTTACCTCTTTCAGTATCATACAGGTAAACAAATCTCGGCCACTCATAATCATTAAGAAGGTTTAGAATGGCTCCTTTAAGTGCTGGTCTCATTTGAATGACGAACTGTACATCTGCATCTGTTGGGAAGCTGGGAGTGATGAATGAAGTGTGGAGGGCTCCACAGAAAGACGTCAGAGTGTTCATGGACATTTGATCGTAGAACCCAAAGATGGCGTATACACCACGGGAAAACTGAGAACAAACTGGAGAAAAGAAAATGGAAAAATGTAAATAACTGGCAAAAAGTATAAAAATTAAAACAGCAGTGCAGTGCAAGAATTGACTTTGAATGCAGTTAACTAATTGGCTCTGAGGTTATGAGAATACACAAAACAACTAGTAAAGACGTCTGCTTTAAATTTAAAATAAAACGAAAAAACTGTTATGGGTAAATAATAGGTATGTTCAGATACCAAGTACGTACTTGGTACAAGTACAAATACATTTCCAGCTTCAAGACTAGACTAGAGAAAAATTCATAATTTAGGAGGCAGCTGTAATTTTTAAGGAGCATACGGAGCTCCTGGGATTTGTGCATCCCTGTTTTAATGTATGATTTTTTAAATAAATATATGCACCGATACCATTTTTTCAAGTACAACTACTGATACTTGTCCAAGTACTTTCAGATACAAGTACTGATACATTTTTGTTTATTGTCATGTGACAGTTTTTCTAAAACAATACAGACTAATGATTTCAGGACAGTGGTGGAGCGCCAGAGCCAGGTCCCAGCTGCAACCGCTGCAACCCTAGTAGTTCTCGTGAAAATGCTAATTATCGGCACTGGTATCTGAACTGGTAACTAAACATCACTAGTAAATAACAAAAAAGTATTGTTTTTAAGCTTGTACATTGTATGTAAATGTCCTTTTTGTATTTAAAAGTCAGTGTAAAAACCATCTAGTCAGGCAAATATGTCATAGAGTTATTGTCAAAATAACCAAGGCATACTGATGCTCCTATATTTCATCTGGCACATAGGCTTCATTGGTCTTTGGTCAGTGGGATCAAACATTTGAAATGCAAGACAACTATGTTTCTTTTGTAGGTATTCTAAAACACTCACAATCAAGTACATTTTGCAAATAGGACCCTTAAACATCAACTTGAGTAAAAGCTGACTTTCTATTTATTGTTAGACACACTGTCAGCCGTATAAATGTCTCCTCTTAATGGAGTATGACATGCCATGGTTAGGGCAAGAGCTAATACACATGGCTTTCCTCTGATAATCTCTGCTAAAGGGGAGGAACAGCCAGTCTGAACTCGGATGACCATTTCAATGTAGATCACATGACCTAATGCCCAGGCTTTTGTTGAGGGTCAACACAGGAAAAAGCCTAAAAAAGCATTTTCTCTAGGAAAGGTAAATATTTAAGTCCATGCTATCTACATCCTATCAGGCGTGCTCACAGAGGCTTGTGAACAAAGTGGCTGCAACTAGGTGGAGTTAAAACAATTGGAGTTTAACCTGTAAGTAACATCTTTAACTTCCCATAAATATTGTAACTGGGATAATGTATGCTGGTATAGTTGAAGAGTTTGTTCACTACAAACTGTGTCACATGTACAGTATACTCAAATAAAACCATGTAGCTCACGTCCAATGTTAAAAAAACCCCCATAAAGCACCACTGAGGGTCTCAGGTTCAAATCCCAGTCAGAACATTATCTGCAAGGAGTTTGCATGTTCTCCCTGTGATTGTGTGGGGTTTCCTCCCACACTCCAAAGACATCCTGTTAGGTTAATAGGCTCCTATCTAAATCGGCCCTGTATGTATGCATGTGAGATAGGGACCTTAGATTGTAAGCTGCTTGAAGAAAGTACTATTTCTGTGTTTGCAGATGACTCCAAGCTATGTAGCAGAATACAGTCCTTACAAGATGTATCCAACTTATAAACAGACCTGAACGCACTGTTTGATTGGGCATCTATTTGGCAAATTAAATGTAATGTTGATATATGTAAAGTTATACATTTGAGGACTAAGAACATGCATGCTTCATACACAGGGGGTGTACCATTCGGGAATTTAAAGATCGAGAAGAACCTGGGTGTTCTGGCAGATCATAGACTCAATAGTATCACGCAATGCCAAGCTCCAGTTTCTTAAGCAAGCAAAATACTTTCAGAGAAACATAATCCTGCCCCTGTACAAAGCATTAGTCAGACCTCATCTGGAATATGCAGTTCAGTTTTGGGCACCAGTTCACAAAAAGGATATTGTTGAACTAAAGAAAGTACAGAGAAGGGCAAGTAAACTGATAAGAAGCAAGGAGAAGCTCAGCTACGAGGAAAGATTAGGTGAACTGAATTTGTTCTCTCTTGAGAAGATGAGATTAAGGAGAGCACATGATCCCCATGTATAAATACATAAATGGTCCATATAGTTAGTTTGGTATTTAATTTACTTTAAGGTCACTAAAAAGAACAAGGGGACACTCTTTGCATCTGGAGGAAAAGAGATTTAACCTTTGCATACAGAAAGGCTTCTTCACAATAAGAGCTGTGGTGATGTAGAATAGGCTTCCCCAGGAACCAGCTCATGCTAGCTCAGTTACCTGTTTAAAAAAAAAATCTGGATGCATTTGTAAATGCACAGAATATTACTGGATATTAAAATTTTAAGTAAAACACCACAGACTGTTGATCTAGGCAATGTCTAAATGCCTCATGGGATCATGAATTATAATTTTTTCTCTTTTGGAGCAAATTGGACCATGCTTTATAGCGGGTTTTTTTCTATAGGTAGAACTTAAAGGACTTTTTTCAGCATCTCTCTCTCTCTCAAGAATATTAACATAGCTAATGGGTTTCAGTATGAGTCCATAAAGCTACCGCTACAGGCTTGTTATTATTATGGTTCCATCGTTAACATAATGTTTGATCCACTGTACAGCTTTAATTGTATGAGAGTCACAACACTGAACGAAGCCTGTGTTGGGGGTTATGTTTCCGTACTCATGCACATGTTTACACAAGTCTGGCATGTAGCCACATACAGCCATTAACTGCTATGGTAGCCTGTATGCAGCACCTGTGGCTCCCTGACGGGGTTTAGTTTCAGTAAACTTGGGCAAGGTTTTATTTTTTTCAATTCTTATGAGTTTCCTGGGGCCTCAAGTAGAAAATAAAATAAATAAATAAGGGATGTAAATGGAAGAGAAATACTACACAATGCTGTGTTTCCTGTTGATAAAGTAATGTGAGCATACAGTTACTAATTTAGGTAAGTAGCAGTTTTGGCTGGTCCACAAAAGGCGTACTCAGTTTCTTAGCCAAGCGCTGAATAGCTGTTCTGCAGCTCCTCAGTTCACTGCAGCAACTTCACTGAACACTTCGGCTGCACAGTTCTAAGCAAAATGGCAGAGGATTCAGTGTTGCGCCTGAGCAACTGAACGTGCCTCTGATCTCCTAAATACGGGACCAAAAGCGGTTTGATACTGCTGATATTAGCTGATGACCATATGGCCAGATTTCAGTTATATGCTCTGCAGGTCAGTTTTTCTACGAATCCACCATGAAAACATCTTTGTGGTATAACATTTCTAAGTAGAAGCCTACATTTTAAAGAAATATCATGGGATGATGCAACCAGAATAGCCTTATGCCTGCACTAGGCGCAGGATTATATGGCATTTCTGTAATTGCATGCTCATCCATTCAATACTTAAATACATACACGTTCTTGAATTGGGTGGAAATGTTGTGTATAATGGCATTCAAGTGGCATTCAAACTTATAGGGGTCTATTCACGAAGCTGCCGAGGGCAGCTGAGTGAATGACCGATCTGAAGTGAAGTGAGCCGAACACTGTTCAGCTATTCACTTCAGGCTGGTACGGCTAATTTCAGCCGTACATCGGCTGAAATCAGCCGTACATCGGCTTGCTTCGGGTCGGCCGAACATGCTCAGCATGTTCGGCCGACCTGAAGTGCGGAAGGAGTTCGACTCAGCCGATCCAACATCTGGATCGGCTGAGCCGAACCTCTGGCAGGCTTCTCACTGCTGTTCGGGCTATTCTTAAAGATCCCGATCAGCAGTGAGTGAATAGCCAAATGTCGCCCAGCGGCATTCAGCTCGGCTGTTCTGCTCGGTCCCTCTGAGGGAGAGAAACAGTGCTGTGTCCTTTTTTTTTCTTTATTCTGACACGGAGCGATGTCAGAATAGAAAAAAAAAAGAAAATTTCCCATTGAAAAGCATTGGGACATTACTATTGGCTATTTCAATTTGCAATAGCCAATAGTAAACTAGCATTGT